GCCTTCCGTATCTGAACTGGCCTTTCATTTATTTTTATTTTTTTTCATTTAAATCCTCATCTCTTGTGATTTCCTTACAAGCACCCCTCTTAAAATCTAATTCAATTTTCTGAATCTCGTATGTAGATCCAGCATTTCATATGGACGGAGCACAAAATGTTCTGACGACCTGCATTGTAACCTCAGGATTCCAGGCCTCAGCCTGCTTATTTATCCTTCCAACAAAGACCTATTCAGCACCTTTTATATACTATTTGCTGTCCTGGATAAAGCAGGCAAAAGTAAAAGAAAAGAACTCCCTTTCCTTGTGGCACTTACATGTTAGAAATCTTAATCTTACAAGGCAATAAAACAGCTGATGGAAAACAGCTCTAATGCTGGGAGGATGCTGAAATGATTGGGGACTAATGTGGGATATGGGTCAGGGACGATGTGGCATTTCAGTCTCTCAACAACATTTAGGTAGATGGCATGGTTTATAGGTTGAGAGGATGAGACTGAGATACTGCAAATTGACTGCTGTGGGCCTCTGCTGCCTGACATATACGGTAGATAGGTCAATGATGTGACAACTGGAACGCATGGTCCCTGACTTTGAGGGGTCCTTGTGAGGATTCAGACATACCCAGGACTAACACTGTGGGTGGCCCAGGAGCTGAGGCTGAACATTATGGACAAAGGAAGGCATGAAAAGGCAAGGAGGCCTGACGGAACCTGGCATGCTCCCCAACTGGAGGAGCCTGGCACAGTGGAGAACAGAGTGGGTGGGGAAGGGTGGTGACTGGTCAAGCCACACAGCAAGTCACAGCAGAGCCAGGATTGGAACCCAGGGTCGTCTGACTCCAAGCCCAGTCCCTCGCACTGTATCCTACAACCTTGAATGTGGGGCTGGCGGGGCGGGGGGCACTCAGAGGAGCAGGAAGACACATGACAGATTCATGTTTGAATCCTGGGCCACAGTATGGACAGTGTAGGGCTGTTGTGTGATGGAGAAGAAAGGTGATGAAGGGCTCTGATGATGTGGATGAAGAGCAGGTGTAATTTCACAATATAGTTGGAGGTCAGGTTGGCAGCATTTGATCACTGGTTGAATGTGGAAGAACCTGAGGAAAGAGCTGAGGCTGTCTCCAGCTTGAGCACCTGGAGGACAGCCTGGAGGTTCCTGTATGCTCCAGGGGACAAGATTCTCTGCTCTCTTCCACATCCTTGGCTAGTTCTGCCTCTTCCCTGCCTGACTTGCCCTCTCCTGTTTCAACTTATCCTTGGAGACCCAGCTCCAACCAGCTGTCAGTCAGAAGGATGAACCCCTTCAATGTAGACCCTTCCAGCCTGTCTCTCTAGTCTCCTATTCCACTTTCACGCTGCTGCTGCATGTGTCATGCTCCACATATTCAGCAGTTCTTGGAGCACAATACGTGCGTCTTACCATTCTGAGGGCAGGGACAAAGGACCTGCAGGAGACTGAATGCATACATGAAAAATGGGTGAGATCAAGGGTAGCCAAGAGTGGATTTCTTCCCAACTGATTATGGGGGCTGCCTGGAGTCCTGTGTGGAGGGTCTGAGGCTGCATTCAGGCTTAGCTGCAAAGAGTGTTATGATCAATTAGTGATGCCTGTGGTGAACACAGGAGGGATGTGGCAGGGTGCATGTGACTTATATGCAGTCTCTCAATGGCAAGATCTGTATAGTTTGGACAATCTACAGCTGTTCTCAGGAAAAATCAGAGAGGATGCCCAAGGGTCTGGTATGGCTGGGGATAGAAACAGGTCAGAGGGGCCTTTAGGAGAGCTGGGACCAGCAACAGATACAGGCTGTTCTTAGCACTGCATTTTCTTTTTTTCTTTATTGTTGAAAGTATTACAAATGTCCCCCTTTTTCTCCACCCTGCTCCTGCCCCCTCCCCAGGCCTTCACCACACTGTCCTCTGTCCATGGGTTATGCATATCTCAGCATTGCATTCCCAACTTTTATACCCCTCTTCACTTGTGCACATTACATAATGATGCCCCTAAACCACCTTTTGTACCCTGACTCGAGGCGCTCAAACCTTGGCTTACAAAGGAATTTTTCTAGCTAACGCCTGCCAGCCAGTGGTTCCATTTTGGCAGCCTAACTCTTTGTCTGCACTGTGGTCTTTGGGCAATTCATCTGCATATTTTATTTCCCTTATGGTTTTATAAAAGGAGTATAAATTAAGGCATGGATGCCAGTGGAGGAAGTGTAGTCCTCCAAATGTAATGTAGAAGCAGAGCATCCATTTAGAACTCTAAACAATGGAATTGCTTCAAAATCAGCAACAGTGATTTAATAAATCAAGCCACTATGGCCATTGAGGAGCAATCTGCTATATATGTTGCCAGGGCATGGAGCCGGGTCCATTTGGTCAGGTTATAAGTGACCCTTTAATGACACCCCAGCGGCCCAGTCTACTCAGAATAGACTGGTCAGGTAATCAACACGTTTAGTGACATCAAGGTGGTCCCAGAGATGAAAGACAAATTTCTACCATGTTCTACATGGTAAAGTTCTTTTCCTTAAATTTGTGAGCATTGGGAGTTAAGATAGCTAAGCTCCAGAGATGATATTAATCAAGTCCTGGGTGGTCTGGATAATTAATCTTTTGCCATACAACAGACATGAACGTGGAAATTATTCAGTGGAAGCAATAGATTTTTAGCTGACTTTTTATAGACGTAAGCTGGTTAACTGGGTGTGGGAAGAAAATTAAGGATTTGCATGAAATGCTGAAGATCTATGATAGACTGTCCTGACAAAGCTAAGGGAAAGGGAGATTTTATAGCATGTTAGCTCTCTGGGCAGAAACCATCAACCCTATGGACTCCTGGCTTCTAATTATTATTATTATTATCAATTGTTGGTCTCTCATTTATTATATATTTGACTTAACATTCACTTTTTCTGGATTACATTGTATATGATGACAAGAGATTGTTTGTACTGATTACATGACATGCCGATTGATCTGATGGTTGATATGGAAACGAATGCTGAAATTGGTGGGGCAGAGCTCTGAGTGGGCTGAGGGTGGTGCTGTCATTGTAGGTTCGGGACAGTGTTTGGAGGAAATAATCTAGCCTACAGCCTCTATCAGCAGGACCCAATGATACCACCCCCTGCTGGCTTTTATTTCCTATTTTTGAGGACTGGCTTTAAGTCACTGTTTTGTCACTTAGCAATTGAATGACTTATGTTTGGATTTATATAAAGTATAGTATCTTACAGTTTAGTTCGTTGTGTAAATGCAAAAAAGTAGAAGTGGGTTGTTTTATAGTCTTTCTGTCCCTTCAATCCCTCTGATGTTATGTGCAATACTGTATTTAATGTTTGTTTCAGTTTTTCTAGGGTGTTAATTTATATAAAAATAAAATAAATAATTTTTAAAACCCAAGAGGAAATGCTGTATAAATGTAGCCATTTCTGTTGTTACAGGTAAAGCACCTGGAATGTAATAGGATTTTACTCTCTTCCTTCTGTCCTGGTTTCCCATGTCCTAACTCCTAGTCATCTATAAGCAAACACCTGGATCACCTCCATGGAGACACCCCCCCGACTGCCCCTATACTGTAGTTAGCTATTCTCTTCTCTGTGCTCCACCATCCTTTGCACTCCCCTGATTACATAATGTATTAATTATCTGCCTACCTGAAGGTCTGCCTTTCTACCAGTGGGGAAGCCTCTTGACGCAGAAACTTCCATCCTGTGACTCATTCTGAGAGTCTGTCTCAGTCTTTGGTACATAGGAGTATTATTGGTATGTGAGTGAGTAGGTGGACCAGTGAGTAAGTGAATAAATGAATAAATGAATGAACAGCACGAAGGGCTGAACCACTCGTAAAAGAGAGCACAGCTTAGAAAGGGGTGAGAGGCTACACTCGCACTTCAGGAATTAAGATCATAGGTCTCAGAGCACAAGTTTTTTATCGGGAGAATCAGAGTACCTGCACAATCCCAACACTTGTATGCATGTCTGTGTCCATGCACATTTAGGGGGAGGAGGGAGGGTCCATAGCTGTCATCCGAGTCTCAGAAGTGTCTGTGGCTCCCAAATGTTGAAAAATTGCTGATCTAAACATATATAGCAGGCAGGTCTCACTGAGAGGAAGGAACCAAATGATTGGAGGAGAGAATGTGACAAAGGAGAAAAAAAAAATCAATTGGAGGGAACCCTGAGTCCTGCAGGGACCTAGGTAGGGGGCATGGCCCCCAGGACAGTACCTGCAATGGTCTGTGAAGGTATTGCCTTGTCCTTCTAAGCACCTCTTTGTGAGGAAGCTCAGGGAAGATTTTCTTTCTTTCACTGTCTTGATTCCTAACACTGACTCTATGGGCTGAGGGAGCCCCTCAGGTTCATTGGCCTCAGTTACCTGCCTCCAAGCGGACCAAACTGAAATGATTCCAAGCAACCACTGGGTCTTTCCTGCCCCCAAAAGCTCCCCTCTCCATCTTCCCCATCCCATCCCATCCCATCCCATCCCATCCATCAACTTGAATTTCATTAAGAACAATGTTTTTCAAAAATGTGGATCTTGGGCCCTTGGGTGAATTATGATGTGAATTTAGAGGGTCATAACAAGCTTTTTAAAAAATGAAATAGAGTATGATATATAAATGAAATAGAGTATGAGAGAAATATTGAGTGTATCACATGTAAGAGTGAGTATAGTTTTATGAAACTTCCCATTTCAGCTCATTATGTATAGGGTTGTGATATGTATACTTCTTTCTGTGGGTTGTGGTCAAAAATGTTTGAAAAGCAGTGATATCAATCACCATTGTAGGCACCCAACAGATTCTCACTAAAAGACCCAGCCCTTGAGGGGATGGTGGCGGGAAAGGAGGAGAGAGACTAAGCTGTGTTAAGGTTCACTTCTTACTGCTGTGCAGGGAAGCCCTTTGCTCTCCTGAGATGTTAGGGGCCTGCCACATTTCCCACCACTGTCATGCTGTCTTGATTCTTGTCTCTCTTTTCTTGGGCAGGTTGTATATGTCACTGCGACATTCCCCTATGTTATGCTTCTGATTCTCCTGATCCGAGGGGTCACGTTGCCTGGGGCCTCCGAAGGCATCAAGTTCTACCTGTACCCTGACCTCTCCAGGCTCTCCGACCCACAGGTAAGAGTCGTTTGCTCGATGCACAGCTGCCCACCACCACTGGGAAGCTTTCTGCAGGCCCCTGATGCCAGCCACAGAGGTTCAACAGCTGGTTGAGCAGTTGGAAGCCTGTAGACCCCTTCTCAGAATTATAAATGTCAATGCATAGATTAAATATATAGGAAATCAAATATAGTGAAATACAACCACCAAAGCATTAAAAAAGACAAATTTGTGACATGGTAATAATAGATGTGCTTCTTTATCAATACATTAAATAGCAAGATCCAGCAAGAGGTCTGATCATTTCTGTGATTTCAAAGCAGCAGTGAGAGTAAGTGATATCTGGAGATATCTATACCATTATAGGAAAATATCTGGGATTTCTATTGCTTACAGTACTGTGGTTTGTTGCCTGCAGTAACAGCTGAGGACAATATTAAATTTCAGTTAGAGGTTACTGAAAATACAAACATACTTTTCCCCCCAGCCAAAAATCACAGATCTCAATAGCCATGCATCTCCAGTGAGAGAAACTGAGTTTTTGTTGGTGATTGATTTTCTTTATGGGCGTCCTGTTAGTTGTTTTGGTAAAGTATTGACTATTCTTAAAAGTGGGTAGTAAATGCCTTTGCCTAAGCTTCTATAAGTGGGTACATGGTGCTTTGCCTGGGGTGTGTTAGACAAGAGATAAAAACAGAGCATCTTTTGGCCCAGGAGTTCTCAACCTCAGCTACTTGTTAGAAGCTCCTGGGAAGCTTTTGAAAATCCCAATTTTCAGAGCACAACCCAGACTAATTAAATTAAACTCTCTGGGGCTGGGCCTCAGGTCATCAGTATCTTTTAGAGGTCTCCAGGTAATTCCAATGTGTGACTAACATGCTCAAAGACATTTGAGTGAGTGAGCAGGCACCCATTTTTCTATTTAAAAAAACCATAGATCATGCAGTAGAATGTGGAATCTGCATTCAGTAGAACATGAGGCTTGCAAGAAATTTCAAGATTGGAGTCTGTGGCTTCAAGCCACCCCATTAGGAGAACTTGGGTGGAAATGTTCATGGAGTGCTAGTTAGTACAACTCAGATGTCCCTCATCACGGTGCATTAAGGTGCACAGTGGAGTGGCAATGTGTGCTCACTTCTGTCTCAGTTTGTTGTGCTGCAAGGGGCCCCAGGCTCGGCATAGCACCAGGCACCAGGCACCTGACGGCAGCATCCTGAATTGCAAGTAGAATCCCTAGGAAGAAGGAAATTAGCTCCTGACTGTTGGCCTTGCCCAGTCCAAAATCTGATGGCACAGGCTTAGTTGGAGAAGCAGTTTTGGAAAACACCTTTCAAAAATCATGGTCTGTGTACTTTTGTTAGATCTACAAATTCTGCCTTAATCCAGGACAGATTTCCTGTTTTTTCCTCTGCACACAGGCTTCCTTATCCTGGTCCTCAAGGTCAGTCAGGGTCCTGAGTATCACCCAGTTTCCATACCTGGGTGATTATTGGAACACCAGGAAATGTTAATATGCAGATTCCAGGCCCCACCCCAGTTTTGGTGTCTGAGGTGGCACCTGGGCATCATTATTATTAAGAAGCTTCAGAGGGGATTCTAGTAATCATAAAAGTTAGGGAAAACCCCATCAGCACCTTTGACCTTGGAGCCCTACACATATGCACATGTGCACACACAAACACACACCATCCACACCTAGAACAAAGGTGAGGCCAGGAGTTCACCATTCAGAGTGTCTGCCCGTAATCATCCCAGTTTCTTACCATCTCCTTCCTTTTGGGCCTTAGGTCCCAGGCCAGCCCTTGTCTGCAGTGCCCCTCCCCACATGTACACACACACATTCGGTGACTCACCAGAAGAGCTCACAGGACTCAGAAACTGTTACAGTCTCAGATGTGTTTTATTTCCATCATCAGTGAGAGAAAAACACACATCAGGCGGAGCCTGGGAGAATTCACCCGCAGGCTTCCCATGTTCTCCTGTTGGGAGGGGCGGCACAGAACTTGCTTATAACTTCCAGCATCAAAATGCAGCAGCATGTGGGCAGTATTTCTGCCCACAGAAGCCTGCTTGGGACTCAGAGTCCAGGTTTTTAATGGAGGTGTTTATTAACTGCACAGGTACTTTCTGCTGCACGATCAATCACAGTCCTCAGAATTTCAGACCCTCAGAAGCAAAGCAGGTGTTTGCCATAAATCACATTGTTGTAAAAATAGTCCAGGCAGGCTGGTACAGCAGAATTTAGTGCCCCAGGCAGACAAAACAAGCAAATCACTTGTTTTTTAGTATATTTTAGGGAACATTTTAGCCAAGTTCCCAGACACTAGTCAAGAGACAATCCTGCAAGCAGGCCCGACTGTAGAGCAACATCAGGCGTGCTATGATAACTCTTTCCTGCACACCTGCAAAACTTAGAATATTTGCTGTTTGGCCTTTTCTAGAAAGAGTTTGCTGATCCCTGAGCTGAAGAGCCCTCGGACGCCTGTGAGGGGATAATTGATGGGCTCCAACTCCCACCTGACCCCCCCTCCACACACACCGTCATCGTTGCTCTCTGCCTCTGCTGCCACCAGTCTGGTCCAAGTCACCACCATCTCCCACTTGACAACTACAACAGTCTCTTAATCGGTCTTCTAGAAATGGCTCTAGATCCCTTTAGGCCATTCCCCAATAAGCAGCAGAGTGATTTTTTAAAATATTAATCTGATGAGCACCTCTTTGCTTAAATCCTTTCTGGGGTTCCCTGTGGTCTTTGGAATAAGATCTAGATTGGGTGCCTCCAAGGTCCCTGATGAGCTTCCTTCTTGCTACATCTCATGTTACTGTCCCCAGCTTTCAGTTCATTCCAGATATTGGCTTCCTTTCTGCCTCAGGACCTTTGCACATGCTGTTTCTCTGTTGGGAACCCTTCTTCTTGCTTCCTCAGACTGTCCCTTCCTACCTTGTCTGAATAATTAGTACCCACTTATCCTTTAGGAATCAGTTTAAACATCACTTTGTCAGGCACATCTTTCCCAATTGCCAACCACGTACCCACAGTATTCTGTACTTATTTTCTAAAGCACTTGCCATGTTTGCAATGAAATATTTATGTAATAGTATATATATGTATTATATGTATGATTTATTTGTTTAATGTCCATTCATGTGCTCTACAGATATTTCCTGAGTACCTACTCTGTATTAATCTAGCCCGGCCGGGCGTGGCTCAGCGGTTGAGCATCGACCTGGGATCCAGGCGATCGGGGTTCGATTCCCGGTCAGGGCACATGCCCGGGTTGCGGGCTAGGCAGCCGATCAATGACTCTCTCATTGTTGATGTTTCTATCTCTCTCTCTCCCCTCCTTTCCTCTCTCTCAAATCAATAAAGATATGTTAAAAAAAAAAAAAAAAAGGTTAATCTAGGAATTGGGCATATAGCAGTAGACAGTGGACAAAGCAGTGATCCCTGTCCCATGGGGTTTATATTCTAGTTGGGAAAGGAAACAAACAAAATTGAGTAGTAAAGCATGCAATCCATGAAATGGTAACTGAGACCATGGAGACAAAACATGGCATCAAAGACAGTGCTGCGGGGGGAGGGGGGACTACAGTTTCCAACAGGACGGTCAGGAAGGCCTCTCTGAGAAGGCACCTTAGAAGCAGGGTCTGTATCTGCTTTGCTCACCACTGTGTCCCAGTCCCTGGCTAGCTTAGCGCCTGGTACACAGTAAGGACACAGTAAATGTTTGCTGAATGAATATAAGAACCAGAGCTATTTTGATTTTTGAAGAAAGGTTCTGTTTCTTTACAAAGTGTCTAAAAACCTTTAACTCACCAGGTCTGTGAGCTGTATTACTTTTTGATTCTCTATCAGTGGTGGCCAGGAAATGTGTGTGTATATATGTGCCCAAAAGCAACAGTGATAGTAATTGTCTGGGGCAGAGATAAGGAGAATGACCCAAAGAAAATGAAAGACAAGACTCCATGTAGCTGATATTTTTCTGGAAGCTGTGTTGCAGGAAGGGCCAAGCATGGCTGGAAAGGAAGGCGAGAGCAGCCCTGAGCCTGTTCTCAATCTGCTCTTAATCTGAAAGGCTGGTGGCAGGGTGTACAGTCGTGTTGAGTCTGAGAAAGGCTCTTGATGGCTCCTTAAACTCTGGAAGCTGGTGCATCGTGCAAGGTTTGTCGCAGTGTGCTAAGGGAAGGCAGCCTATGAACAGGGCAGTAGAATCGCAGTACCGCAGCTAGAATGTCTACTTGACAGACAGAGATGCAGGTCAGAGAGGCTGACCCACTTGCTTGTGGTCACACAGCAATTTAGCAATCCTATTATAGCTTGGGGCTCCTGAGTTCTGCGTGGGAGAACTCCTAAATGAAGGGAGGTGAGGTATTAAGAAAACAACAGATCCACACTACCCAGTTCCAATAGTTCCCATTTGTGCATACCCCAGACGATGCAAAGCAGGAGGGCACAGGTTTCAATTCCTGCCCTCCCATTACTGGTGGTGTGGCTTCAAGAAAGGCACCTCACCTCTTTGGGGTCAAGTTCCTGCTTTCCTAGAATGAGGATGACAGGTTGTACCTGCGTATCACATCAGATGGCTATGAAGTTCAAATATGAGGACCCAATTGATGAAGGAACTTTTTTTTCATTTTATAATTATATATTATTTTTAAGTGCATTAGAAAAAATCACATCAAAACCATGATGTCATAGTTATTGTTGGGGATGCAACCAGGGCTGAAAAAACATCCTGGGTTAGTGTTAGGATTTTAGGTAGTCACATGGTCCCCCTTGAGACAACTGGAGCGTTGTTTTCAAAGTTAGAGAAAGTAGACCAGGAGAGCTGTCAGCTGGAAATATTTTATCAGGAGGTCAGTCAGTAAAAGGCTTGGTTTTGTGTATCTTGATAGTGTTCTCTTTTACCAAGTCCAGACTTTTCTTTCTGAATAGTCATCTTGACTTAGTTTCCTGTTTACACCTCAGATTGCACCAGGAAGGAAAGTTCCCAGAAAGTGTCACTAGGCCTGGTTGG